ACTTAAATATCAATAAACTTTAAAAATCATAATCTTACCTCCTAGAAGAATGACTAAGATGCTGAATGTTGTGATGAGATTGTGAAGTTCACTCATCTGCAATAAAGCACATCATATTATATCACGAATTGATCAATTCCATTAATAATAACATTGCAGAAGACGTAATCGCGAAAAAAAAACAAAATCATTTCAAGCTGATCAAAATAGAAAAAGAATTAAGAAATTTATTTTCAACAGTTGTTCTTAACTCTTTTCTTTTTTAAAGCAGTGATCATAAATTATTGCATTATTCGAATTTTTTATTTCCTACAATTTATATATCTTCAAGACTGTATTAATAAAAGAAGAAATTGGAAATGCTTGAAATATTTTCTATTTTCTCATATTTTTCACATCTTTCACTTTTTCATTTGTGATAAAAATAATTTTTTTTGTCCATTGCTAGTCACAATTCACTTACTTTGACGTTGTTTTAATTTGCTTTACTTTTTTAAATATTTGAGCTGAGCTCTTTGAATTATTCCTTTTTGTTGGCTTGCGTTTATTTCGCTTGAAAATTGAAACTTGAATGATTCAAGAAGCGCTCTGGAGATTTTCAATTTTCACACATCAGCGAGGAGAAAATTTCGGCTTTTTCTATTTTCCTTTTTGAAGAAAATCCGAAAATCGAAGATTTTTCATCTTTTATAAAAATTTACTGATTCTTCGGCCTTCGGTCGTCTTCACTGTTGTTGTTGTTGTTATGTATATTGCTTCTTGCTACTAAGTTCCAATTTTCTTTTTTGTCCCATTTGTGAGTTATTTCCACTCATTCCTACATCGATAAGTTTAGACTTTTTTGCTTTATTGTCTTGCATGTTAGAGCTCTTGATATTAAATTCGGAAGTGCTCTCATCTTCATGAAATTCATGCTGTCGAAATTCTTGTTTTAAGTATACGATCATTAACAAATGATGTTGATCAATGAGATTTTAAAATTCATACAGCTTTAGACCTCCTGCTGTTCCTAATAAGCAATTATTATTGTTGCGAATAAAATCTAAAAGACACCGTTGTGATTAAAAGCAATTAAATTTTGGAATCCTAAAAGTATTGTTAAACTGATTCAGCAAAATGTTCATTAGAATTTGCTTAACAATCAATAAATCAATTTATTCATGCACAACTGTTATTCGCACCTATTCGGCTTTATCTTTATATCCATCGACATATGTACATTTTAACTTTGGTCTGGAACAATTTTATTATTTTATTACAAGTTGAACCTTCATTCATGAGCACAGTTCCGAATACAATAGAATGAAGAAATTAAATCAGATACAACTGATAGATTCTTTGATTTTTTTATGCAAAAGTCTCGAATTCTCAACAATTGATATTATAATTGAAGAATTAAGCTCGTACAAATGAAAACATCTTCAATCCTTTTGTTTGTTAAGAACTTAAGCTGATTTGAAAGATTAAAGCAGGAATCAACAAAGTTTCCAGTGCAGCGAAAGTTGACATTTAGTTCAAAAACCTTCAAAACCAAAAATGGATTCAATTTTTTAAATAAAGTAAACTTCAACTTTTCCATGTATAATTCAAGCCGACTTCAAGTTCTGTTCATGAATTAAATCAATTGAATAAAGATATGTTTTACATGCAATACGGAAAACAAATTGATACAATTTAAAGATATAATCGCAATATACTTTTTCCTTATGTTATGTTTAAAACCTTGAAGATTTTGTATCTAAAGTTATTGATAAGAACAAGCAATGCTTTAGATTTGATTTAATTGATTTCAAACAGTTGACTGATTATAAAAAATTTTAGAATCAACTTCTGATTGAGTCTATGAACTCACCAAGTCCATTTGTAATGTATTGAGCATGGGCCAAATTTGAATCTTGCAAATGATTAATAAGCAATAATTCTATATTCATTATTGTAAACTGTAATTGATGTTAATGATGAAAAGTTCAACAATGGACTAGCTTAATGCATTAGACAAAACCAGCTAGAGAAGACAACGTTTGTTCAAAGATCACAATATTTAAGTGGAGCAAATTATTTGTATTATGCAATAATCTAAACAAATTCTTATCGCTCGCACAACAGCTTCCAATATATTACAAAATGCTATTACTGTCCAATAATTTCGAAGTTTTCAATTTCAAGATTTCTAAAGTTTGACGCTTGTGTTATTTTGATCTTTTGAAAACATTGTTGTGCATGTCATCCTGAAAAATGATTAAATCATAAAAAAGATTTATTTAATCAGCCAACAAATTTACAATATAGAACAAGAAAAAGATGAGATGTGAAGAATAAAATGACAAGTGGGCAATTCTACAGATAACTTTTTGGAAATTTTTACATAAAATTTCAAATATTTCTTATTTTTTGGTCTAAAGTTCCTTCAAAGTTATTCGTAGAGGATGAGAAAAATTATAATCTTCAATTTAATACATTCAATACAGTCTAACATACATTAATTAAAGAGAAATTTGAATTCTTTAGTCGATTTCTCGGCGACAAAAAAAGTATTTTTTTTTTTTTTTGATAATCCAAAGAATTCAAATTTCTGCAATTATAAAACAACTTATATCGTCATATATATATATCATTCGACTGGAAATTTATTATTCTCTAATAATAACTAAAAATATAATTGAGTTTTTTATATAATAATTTCAAGATAAAACGAATCTTCTGATAAATTTTCATGTCGCCGAGAAATCAGAAAAGCGCATCTTTCCAGAAGCAAATTTCAAATTTTAAAAAACCGTTAAAAAATTTTCTATGGAAGTTTCTTCTTTTTTTTAAATAGAAAAAATATCATATAATCTTTCTTTATTTCAAATTTGGAATTATTGTAGTTTAAGTTACATTTCTTTGAGTCTTATTTTGACACCAGCCTGAATATGGTTTTAATTCAACTATATATTGATTAATTATTAATTTTGATGAATGAGATTTACATATATCATGAAAATGTGGCATAAAAAGTTTAAAAAAATTGCCGAGCGAGAAAAAAAAAAGCTTTTTTTAAGCTTATGAACTACGTTAATAAATTATTTTTGAACTGGCTTGTTCGGTGCTGGTGGGCAGCTCATGAAGCCATACTTCACTATGAGTTTAAATGCAGTTTTTTGAGGTGCATCCTTTGGGATCTTTCCGGCTTCGTCGACGAAACTGCAGAACTGATTTATTGCTTCTTCAATGTTGAAGATTCTCTTTAGACGTTCTTGAGCTTCTGTGAATTTCTTGAAAAGGCTTTCATTCTTTACTGCTTCCTTGAGTTTCTCTGCCTAACTGATATTATTGATCAGTTGTTGCTGATTAATCTCTTCTTGAAATGTTGCTGATGAGTTACTTGCAGCATTCACTGGATGTGAATGAGCAGAAACTTGATGTCGTTTGCTTAACGATGGAAAATTGTTACTGTCCAAAAGACTTGATATCTGTGGCAGCATTTTGAGTTGTGGTTTGGCTCTTGACTTTTCGATTCTTTTGGAATACGAAATGAACGATGGGGACAGTCTATAACTGGCAGCATGATCGCCATTGCAATTAATGCACTTGGCATTTCCATCACGAGTGGATCGTTGACATTGGTTTGGTGCGTGAACTTCCGTGCACTTGACGCATCGAAACTTATATCCACAATTTTAAGATGAGTGACCCCAACGTTGGCAGTTGAAGCACTGCGTTGGGCTTTTGTTGCCCTTCTTGATGTTCTCCCACTTGACGATGATGTTGTCGATGTTACGGTGGTTATGATTGAGCACGTTGATGTTCACACTTTCATCTTGAAAATGCACAAGATAAAAGGTGAACTCGGGCTTCTTGACGAGAATTGTCACTTTGACAGCTGAAACCTTGGCTTCTTGAAGTAATCTTAGTACTTCATTCGTTGGTGTTTCGTAAAATCCTTTCAGAACGAATGATTATTGAGGCCTTGTCCTCAACATTTTTGACTATGACTTGTGTTGTAGCCGCTGATGAAATTTTAAATGCAGGCTTAAACTGCAAATTGATTTGTGAAATTATTTTTCTCACTTCATTAATATTTTGCTGGATGAACAAAGGCTTTTCAGCCTTTGCAGCTATTACTGGAACTTCAGGTTCCGCCGTGGAGTTTTTTTTTTCTGGAACTTGTTTTCTTTGTTTCTTGAGATTTTGTTTTGATCTACTCGGGATTTCATCAAAGGCCATTTTTGGACTTAAATCCTGCTTCCTTTTGCGTCTCTTCATTCCCAATGGGCAGCAGACAACACCTTGTACTTAAATAAATAGTTTAAACAACTATAAATAACTTGGAAACTATTTAATTAATTAAATGAAATTTTTTCACACGTTTATGCACAAGGGGCTTTGAACTTTTTTTTTGTTGGAAGTTTCTTCAATAAGTTCACTTCTTCTTCTTCATCTAAATCTGATGACTTTGCATATATGTTAGAATTCCAATAATATTATTAAATTTACCTTTACAAAAAAAAAATTGTTGTAAACAAACGAATTGTTTACAGTTTTTGTAACGAATTTTTAAAATTTGAAATTTCAAGTAGAGAAAGTATTATTACTGAAATTTTAGAAATTCAACTCTTCTGTAGAATTGCCCATATATAAATTAAAAATTATAACAGATTCACTTAAATGAATTACGAATCATCGTCAAAGGATTTATTTTCATCAGTTTTCTTGTTTTTTTTTATATTTTTTCCTCATATAAACTTAAGTAAAATATAAAGACACTTAATAATTATAAGTTTGTGATTATGTCAACAGAGAAAAGAAAAAATATCTAAATTTTGTCACTAGCTTGTTGGAAATGAAAATAAGCATTTTTTTCAGACAACTTAAAATATGCGTAATGACTAAAATCTAAAATTATAATATTTAGTATCATTCAAAAAAAGTAGAGTAGCTGATTAGAATTTGAGGGGAGAAAATTTGTTTTTAAAAGGTACTTAACATTATCTACTACATCATGATAATAAAGTTAATTAATTAATTAACATATATCATTTTTCCTGTTTTCCTCTTCTTTTTTTTGAAAATTCTTTACGACATTAAAACATTTTGATTTCTGTTATTCATTTGATGAGCTCTAAGGATCGGAACGACGACAAAAAAATTAAAAAGTTTAAAAGACCAAAAAACAGGAAATCAATGATAATGTCTCAAAAATTTTCATTTTGTTATGATAATCAGCTGTTTTTGTAAATTTAGTCTGTGTGCCATGTCAGCCGTTGTTCATAGAAATCAATCACCAGTTGTGGACAATGTTGTCGGGCGAGTTTTGAAGGAATTAGCATAGCTTTGTTGCTATTTTTCCATTGAACAAGGAATGCAAGCTCACCATTAACGTCTGTAGCGCCAATAATTTTCTCAGGCTCGAGTCCACTATCAAATGGCGATGCTTTATCCTTTTCCTTGTCTTTATCATCATTACTACTACTTTTCTTTTCCTTTTCCTTTACTTTTTCCTTCGTTGACGTTGACTTTTCATTCTCTTCGTCTGAATGCTTTGTTGAGACATTATGATTTGATTCCTTCTTACTCGTGTGTTCTTTGCTGCTAGGCTTCTTGGGCTTTTCTCGTTCCTTCTCTTTTTCCTTTGTGGGTTCTTTTTCTTTTTCTTTATCCTTGTCCTTTTCTCGTTCCTTATCCTTTTCTTTTGTGGACTCTTTTTCTTTTACCTTATTTTCATCGCGACTTTCTGATTCTGTTTTACGAGATTTCTTCTCTTCATGCTTTTTCGTCGAGCTGGTTGTTGAGTCTTCATTGGAACTGTTACTAATGCGCCGCTTCTTTGTCTTTGATTTTTTGGCCTATAAACAGAGTATCAATGAGATTTCCGGCTGTACTATAATTAAGTTATTCTTACCTCTTCACTCTTTTTGCGCATTTCTTCAAATTCTCTGATCAGTTCATCACATTCCAAATTCTCCTTTGGCTCCCATGTATTTTGAGTATCATCATACCCTTTCCATTTAAGAAAATATTCGATCTAAACAAAATAGTTGTTGTTATTAAGCGCCTTTAAACTACTTGAATGAAAAATTATTCATTAATTTACCTTTCCATTCTTTGTTCGTTTATCTACGACTTTCTCAACTACATATTCCTCTTCTTCACCATCACTTCCACTACCTGAATCATTGTTTTTTGACTTATCGGAATCAGAATCGTCTTCCTTATGATTTTTAGGCATCTGAAGTTGTGAAAAAATATTTTTAAAGCGTCAGAAAAAAATTCTTGGAAAATTTCATGTAATTAAGCAGTTTTTGATACTGCATTGATTCAAAGTATGATTTGTGGATGTTTAGTAACTGTTTAAAGCTATTGGTATTGTTTATAAAGCACTAAATACTTACGTTTTCTTAATTATTTATAAAATTAATGTGTTCTTTTAAACTCAGGCGAAAAATATGCGGAACAAGCTTTTGAAAATTGAAAAATCGTTACTTTAAGTTTCTATTTTTAATGGATATTCTCATAATCAATAAGTCTGTTATAAAACAAATTAAGCAATGATATTAATGAGGTTTATAGACATCTCATTTATACTGTAATTAAGTAAATAGATTAAGAAAGAGTGAAAAGATGCAAAAATTCTCACAAAAAGATGCAAAAAAAGATTTCAAAAAGACGCAAAAAAGATTTCAAAAAGATTAGCGTGTTATTGAAATAACGTATTTTCGCGCCAAAATAAATAAATAAGTTAAATTAAATTGTAAAATGAGTTCTATAGATCTATTTAAAGATTTTAATGATGAAGATGATGCTCAATACGGTGATGATGATGATGACATTGACAGAAATAATCAGGAAAGTGGTAATGAGCAAGAAAATGTCAATAATAATAATGCTGGAAGTGACAATGAAGGAAGACAGGAAGTAGATCCAGCAGTTAAAATCAAAAAACCAAAGAGAAAGTTAGTGACACTTAATGCTGAGCGATTAAAAGGACCGAGAGGCATAATAGCAATAGATGACTTCTTTAATAATATCAAATTAAAAGGCAAAGGACATGAAAAGCAGGATTTAAATGAAGTAATGAGGAGATTAGAGCACTGGTCACATCGTATGTTCCCTAAATATCATTTTGATGATTCCTTAACCAAAATAGAACGGCTGGGAAGAAAGAAGGAAATAGCATTTCATATGACTAGATATAGATTAGGGCAATTAGTCCAGGAAGATGATAATCGAGTGCTGTCAGACAATGATGATGATAGAATGGAAGATACACTAGCAAATGAGCTGCCTGTCGATGAATTTGAGGACCTACTGAATCAACAAATTGCTTTGTCAAGTACATCACATAGATCTAATAATAATGCATCTATAAGTCAGTTAAATATGTCATCTGTGTCCTCATCTACTCAAATCCACAAAGAGCCAATGTCACCGGAACCACCAGTATTTTCACAAGTTGAAGCTATACAGCCCAAGTCACAACTTACTGATGAACAAAAGGCAAGAATTGAAGAGAATCGTAAGAAAGCTATGGCAATTAGAGCAGCAAAGTTGAAGGAATTAGAAGATAAAAGATTAAAAGAACTGAAGGAAGCTGAAGAACAGAAGCTTAAGGAACGATCACAGCCAACAATCAATATAGAAATAGATGATGATTTTTGTTAAATAAATTTAACGGTTTCAACCGGCTAATTTTAAATCTTTGCATCTTTTTCTGCAACTTTTCAGGTCCATGCGAAAACTAGTTTGCTAAAATTTGCAAACTTTGTTATATCAACAAGACATAAAGTTAATTAACGAAATAAAGTATTACATATCATTCCAATCGACTGTACAGTCATCGTAAAAAGCTTAGATAAATTAATATTGATGGTGAAAATTGTTTGATTGAGTTCATTATTGATAAGGTTTCAATACTACAAGCAAAAATAAATTATAATTAAAGAATTAAGCTATAAAACGTGCTTTAAACCATTGTAAATCAGTAAGAAACGGTGTTTTAGGACTTATCAAATTAATTAAACTTATTAGTATCCTCCAACAATAAAGGTAAGCGTCATTTTTGATGAAATTAATAAGTTGAAAAAAAAGTACAAAGAGAAAAAAATTTTAAAATTTTCCTATTTCGTAATAATTTGACAGTTTTTCTCTCGCAATGGATGCTGATAATAAACTATATGAGTTGATGAATGTAAATAGAAATGCTACTGATGCTGAGATTAAGAAAGTGAGTATGAGTCAGACATAAGTTCTGAGAACCAAAAAAAAAAAAAAAATTAATTGGAACATGTGCTAAAAAGGCATAAAGAAAATGGAAAAATCCAATAGAATCAAGGCTGTAATTATACTTTTAAATTTCGTCCCGTTTTAGAGCTATCGTAAACTGGCTATGAAATATCATCCGGACAAAAATCCAAATCCAGACGAAGCTGAAAAGTTTAAGGAAATTACTTATGCTTATGAGATTCTATCGGATCCCGATAAACGTAAAACTTATGATCGTTATGGCGTTAAAGGACTTCAAGAGGGTGGTGCTGATACAAATGACATGTTTAGTCATATTTTCGGTTCATTCTTTGGTGGTGGAGGAGGTGGAAGATCATCAGGTCCACAACAATGCGAGCCAATTGTAATGCAAGAGCTTGTGACATTAGAAGATCTTTATGTTGGAGGTCGTGAGATTCCACGTAAAATTACTCGAATCATTGGCTGTACAAAGTGCAATGGTCAAGGTGGTAAGAACGTCAAGAAGTGTAAAGAATGTCGTGGAACTGGCACAAAAATCATTATTCATCAAATGGGATTCATGACACAACAGATTGCATCAAAATGCAATGATTGTGCTGGAACTGGAGAGTTTATAGACAAAAAGGATCGCTGTGACTTGTGTAAAGGATCAAAAACGATTGAGGACAAAAAGGAAGTAACGATTCATATTGATAAAGGCATGAAACATGCACAGAAAATTGTATTTCGCGGTGAAGGACATCACTTGCCTGATACAGTTCAAGGCGATGTCATTGTTGTACTGAAGGAACGCGATCATGAAACATTCAAACGCGAAGGAAATGACTTGATTTTGCAACAAACAATTTCAATAACGCAAGCATTATGCGGCTTTGATTTGTTGATTAAACATTTAGATGGACGTGATCTTCATGTAAAAAATCCACCTGGGAATGTGATGAAAAATGGTGACATTAAGTGCGTTACTCATGAAGGTATGCCACTCTACAAGAATCCATTTGAAAAAGGAAATTTATTCATCAACTTTACCGTTGAATTTCCTGAAAAAATGGACGTCGATTTAATTCCACAATTAGAGAAGTGCTTGCCACCAAGGCCGGCATTCGTTATGCCAACGGGTGAGCATGTAGAAGAAGTGAGCATGTCTGACTACGATCCAAATGATCAATCAAGACGCAAAAAACATTCAGCAGCTTATAATTCCGATTCTGAAGACGAAGAAGGTGGTCATCCAGGCGGAGTTCAATGCCGAGCCTCATAAATTCATGTATGTAATTATTTGTGGATTATCGACCCCCCCATTAAAATAACAGATAAAGTAATTCTGTTTATTGATGGTGTATGGAGATTCGTATTTTTTGATTTCTTTTTTTAGGTTTCACAAATTATAAGAATAAATTTTGGTTTAATATTTTTTGTGTCTGAAGATGCGCTGATCTTTTTTCTATATAATCCAAATATTATAATTTTTTTGTTTTTTTGCAAAGTCATTCATAAGTAATAACTCAAAAGCACCGTAGATGAAAAAAAAAATCAACAATACATAATTTTAATACATATTGTGTGAGAATGTCTGGAATAAAGGATTAAAAATCCTAATTATTGGATGTTGATGCTCAATGATGCTTCAAGTCTGATCCTAAGGATCAACATTTATATGATTAGTATTACATCACATGACAGTTGAGAGTTATTTTTTGTGGAGTAGCTCAATTCTTAAAATCTAGCTTAAAACTAGCTTTTAAAAGTTCTGGTTACTAGAATATACGAATTGCCTAGAAGCAAGAGAACTAAAATATGAAACCTACTCCTGTGTTCATAGAGTTTGAACAATATTACAAAGATTCCAACACTAAAAACAACGTTATAAACTTAATTTCTACTCTGTCCAAGTCAATTAGACTCAAATCTCAGTTCCAGAACAAACCAGACCCAGTATGATTCTATGGGAATTTCCATATACATAATTTTCTTAAGAATAACCACAAAAAAAGTAATATTTTCGACTGTGTATTGTGATAACATGCGCAATTTAACGACTGCTGATGATAGAAGCATCATTGAGACGCTCAAGTCCTGATCAAAAAATAGATTTTATTTCATAATTTTGAGATCAAGCTCGATTTGATATTTAACGAAAAAAAAACACAATTAATTAATGATAACCATGATTCGTACGAAAAAGGAGTAAAGAACTTAACATTAAGTAGAACTGAATATAATAAAATGACTATCGTTGTGATTTAGCATTGAATGATGATGAAAAACCAAGATTAAATTATATGAAATTCAGTATAAATTAATTAATTAATCTCCCCAGTTTTTATGGCAATGCAGAATTCCTTCATAAATATTGTAATTTTAAATTAATTTCATACCTACTCATTTGTTCCTTTAAATCTTTCTTTTGGAAAAGTGAACAAGAAAATCTTTTGAAAAAACCCGGAAAACAAACACACGTAAAGTAGATAATGAATACAATAAAAAATGGCAAAGAATTAATAAAAGAATCAATTCGTAATCAAAAAAACTTAGTTTTTTCTTCTGATTTGACTTTTCTAAGTATTTTCAGCTGATGTCATCGTCTATAACAAGTGGTTTTGTTATGGAAAACTTTTAAAATGAATCATTTTGTTTGAATTTTCAGAGAGGATTGTTTTTTCGTTCTTTAGGTTCAACAAGGATCAATAAACTATCCTTGTCATTAAACTGACTACAATCATATTCTGACTATTGAGAAAAGTCAAAGAAAAATCAGCCAATAACTTGATATCGTGGTTGATAATATAACCTTAAAAACTCATGTTAACAGCGATATAACTAGTTATAGTCGATAACTAAGGAAGTAAATTGATATCATTTGGAATAAGTTGTTATTTCATATTCCTAAAGCTTGAATTTTAACGTTATTCAAAGTTTCGAGTCATCTTGTATGTTCATTTCTTGTATCGCCGTCCAAAAAAGGATTGGATGACACTGTTCTAGTGTGTCGCGTTCTTAAAAGTTTGAATTTAGTAAAGGAAGCAAGCTAGAAAGTTTTCAAAAACAGGAACACTTTACAAAGATAATGATCTTCACAAGAAAACTTAATAAGCATCAAAATATATTAAAAAAATCCTCAAACTGAGAAATCAGGAAAAATCTTCAAAAATGCAGCGTTAGCTTTATTCAAATAGAATTCATTATTATTAATCAGTTTTCCTAGGAATGCAACTTGTCATTAACAAGCAGCAGTTCAGTTGATAAAAAACAAAAGAGTTAGAAACCACAAGAGATGATTTAAATGTTTTGACGATTCAAAAAAATGAAAAATGAAAAATAAAGAGAAGCAGCAGTGACGCATTGATTCGTTATACATTTAAACAAATGACCCTTAATGGAAGCAAGAATAAAGTTCGTGTGTGAAGAACATCATCACCATCATAATCATCATCACATTCACAGCACAGCAAACTCTTTTAATCTTCATTTGTTTCCATTCAGTCAGTCACATTCGAGAGATCCATACGTCCACAAAGTGCACATTTTTTTCTTCTTTTAAAAAAGTTTATATTTTTTATGTGTTTACATGTTGACTATTTTGCGATTCTAAGCGCGAGTGATCTTGTTCCAATTTGATGTAATAAATTTTTTCTTTCTTCTTTTCGTTCCTACATAGCTGCAAGTTTACATTTTCTTGATCATTTTGGTCTTCTGCTGAATGCGCGAGTTTTGTTGGAAAAACCTTTCAAGTATTGTGAGCATTTTTAGTGCCAATTTTTAAAAGTGCCTTTTCGTCTTTTGCGAGTTTAAAATTACAATGAGAAATTCTGCTCTTGTGTATTAGTGTGGATTATTATTCTTATTTTTTTGAGAAATGGAGAAAAATTATTATTATTGCAGATGTGCATTGATGTGAGTTTCTTTTCATTTTATTAGGAACTGCGGAATTAAATTTGTTTTTAATCTTTTTCAATATGAAAAGAGGTGGAAAGTTTAGAACAAAGTTTATAATCTGATAAGAAAGTTGCTGTTCTTATCACTTTCTGTTGTCCTGTTTCGAGTCAGAACTTCAGCTTCCGTGGAAATTTTCAAATGAATCATTTTTTTGATCTTAGACATAAATTGGAAAATAACATTAATAAAGTGGGAAATTTTTAAAACCTGTTTTGCTTTATAAGCTCCTAGTAAGGCAAAAATATTATGTTTATACTTTGCTAAGTTACAGGGGCGTAGCTAGAAAATTTTTAAGGGGGGGCCCATTTTCGAAAATTAAAAAACCGTTAATTTGTATCCTTAAATCTATATTCATTCTTCATAAGTTTAAATATTTAATTCATGGTTCATACATTAAATTTAATTTTTCGTGCTGATTTTGACATTTTTTTCATCACTTCCTCTACATTAACTGGTTCTTCTCTATAAATACTTAATAAAACAATTATCAGATTTTCGTAGGGGGGGCCCGGGCCCCCTATGCCCCCCCCCTGGCTACGCCCCTGCTAAGTTACTAGCTTATAAATCAGGATTCAAATACAGGATAGTATCAATGTCTGGTGATGTCTTGGATTAGAATTAAGGGTCTGAAGAGTTAGATCTACATTGAGAAATCTAATGTCACTAGTAATCTGAGATCCGAGTTCAAACCACTAAGGCAAAGAAAACATTACATTTAATTTAAGATGCTGCCTATTTTGTAATAAAGGTTTGTTAAAGTTGAATCTGATAAACTTTCTTAAACTCTGAGTTTCTAAGATAAACCTTGGATCTTGTAATAGGACTTGCAACCTGGTCCATCTGTCAGTTTTAGGAAGAGAATAGTGTTTATTACCTTAGCTGGTCAGGAGTTTGGAACTCAACAATCATGTTTAGATTATGTTTGATGATGAATCTTCTTTAGATGTGATTTTAGAGACTAGAAAATCCCAGTAAACTTTAAATTCTTAATATAATTGGAATCTAAACCGACTCATTTGAAAGATTAGAATGTAATGTAGGGTTTTGCTGATAGGAAATGCGGCACTGCTATCGATGATCTGTTGTACTATCCCAAGTCCCCTATGCTAGAATTCCAATGTCCTTAATAAAGCCAATAATGTCCTGATAATGCTGCTTATTTATATCCTCATCATTCAAATAGTCTTCATTTGATAGTGAAAAATCTAATTAAGGACCTTTATGCAATCTAGAGGCTAAGAGTAGGCTAAGGAAGTCTAGAACCCCCACTCCGACACTTGCTTAATTAACCTACATAATTTTAAATTAGACGAAAATTTTAGAAAATAAATGTCATGAAGAATGTGAATAATAAGAAATTAGTTGAAACACAGTGATAGGAAAAAAAAATATAACAAATAAGTAACATGCTGCACAAGTGTACATATACACTAACTTTATATAGAATAGCACTCACTCAATACAGCACAATACGGGGGACCAATTCATTTAAAACAATTTATTTAGAAACATCATCATCCAACATCATGCTATATGCTGGTGTATATTTCTCATACAATTGTATGTGGTTCTGGTATGATGTACAGTCATTTCAATATTATGTATTAATATATATTATTCAGAGAAAAAAAAGGTTGTTTTATCGCATTAGCTGAGTATATTCCAAACTGATAACGCGCGGTGATGGCAAACACACAGACATTTATAGAACAGAACAGAATACTAGTAACAAAATTTGCTGTATCATTGCTGTGATGAACAGAGTGCATTTTTATCTTGCTTTTGACACATTTTGTTGAGAATTTTTAAGGCTTTCGAAATATTGAGAAAAATCCGTTGAGGACAGACAAGCAGCTCTAATTATGTGCATATTTGCTTCCTTTGTATTCTCACGTGTTTTTTCAATTATTTTTTATTACAATCAAATCACGATTGGAATCGTAGGTCAAGAAAAGCTAGAGAAAATTTTATTTTGACGAAAGATGACTAGAGCTTGGGTTCCAGTCACTTACAGAGATTCTAATTGATTCAGAACTTAAAAATAAAATTGATTTAATCCTTTACATCAAAACTTGTAGGTTAGACACTGTTCCTATTTAGCTATCATCAGACAAAATAACAGCAACAGATTACACATTTTGTCACTAAACTCGACCTACAACAGATGAAGAAATCTTATATTATCATAATTCATAAAGTAAAAGAAGAATGTCACATCTGAGACGCAATTGAGAATGAGGATGATGATGATGATAATGGGGCATTTTGAATTAAGGTCTTTCTATTCATAAAGTCATTTCAGCATATATAAACACATACACAGTCAGAGAGTAGGGGGGCTATTACGAAGTCATTTACTTTTTTTTTTAAAACAGAACAAAAATTTTTCTTCGTTATCATCTCGCCAACAACATTTCTGTTTTTTTGAGATGATACCGATGATGATGTTAAGTATATTTGTAGGCATTCCTCTCCTTCGCTCTTATTATTTTATTATATTTTATTTCTTCTGCCTTCAAATTTAATCATGATGAAAATTGAAGCAGCAGCAGATAAAATAAGCATTTGATTTGATGGCATGAATATGTCGCAATATCCCTCTTTCTCTGTCGTTCTGTAATTTACTTTAGTTAACTTACTCTATCGTCTTTGTTCGCCTTATATATTTTTTTTTATTTCTGTGGAAGTCGTCAGTCACTCCACTCAGTTGATTTGTTGTGTGATTGCACAACAAAATAAAAATGAAAAAAAAAAATTTGCCTCCCGTCTAAAGTTCTTTTATTATTTAAATTGATACATTATGGAACCATAAGCCATTCAACAGAAGTTCAAGAGACGAATGCCCCCGAATGTGTTATCATCTCTTTTTTTTTTACACACATTGGATTGTCGGTTCGGTCTTTTTGTCGACAGTGAATTTTGTGACAGAGAAAAAGAAAAGAAATACACAGCCAGTCAGTCACTCAGTCATTGGCATGAATTGTTTCATATACGTATATTCTTTTTTAAAGGAAATGATCTTCTTTATGATACTTTTTAAGAAGAAATCCTCAAACAGCGGATGAACTTAATAATTTTATTAGTATCAAAGAATTATTCTTTTATTGTAATTTTACATGCATGGTCGTGCTTAACTAGCTCGTCTTTGGACGATGATTTTTAGGAATTGCTTGGATGACAAAGCAAGTCAAATAAGAATTAAGAGGAATTTATGGCAACAAATAGTTTAATATAAATTGTTTACAAGATGTGTTCTCATTTTTAGTGCTTAAACACTTGTTATTGGGAAATTAGGATACTGGTTGGAATTGGGGGTGATGGAATGAAATCTAATGTAGCTTAATTAATGTAATTAATTAGTATTTTTACCTAATCTCTAGTCTTACAATTCCATTTGTCAGAACAATAGCATCTAAGGCTTAAGTGGGATTAATTTGGGAGTTAAGTTAAAGCATCCAACCTCAAAAATATTTTTGATACCCTCCAGCTTCAAAAACTTGCCCGATATGTTTCAAAACATCCCAATACAACCTTAAAAAATCCATTGATCTTCAATATGATCTCAAAATTTTAATAGACCTAAAATAGATAAGTCTAGACATAAATTATTTGACTCACAGCTAATAATAATCATTCAGTCTGCCACATATAAGTATTGATAACACAGACAATTTTAGAATCATTTATACTCTTCTTAAAATTTTAAGAAATATCTTAAATTTGAGTGATTGCTGAAAACCAATTTTGAGATTCATTTGAAACTTTTGGCACAGTTTTCGATCAGTGATGTTCCAAAAGGATAACAAAAATGACATAAATTATTAATTAATTCATGTTCAAGTGATTCTTTTTATAATCCACAAAACTTCCGAACAAAAAATCTTTCAACCGAAAAAGCCTTTAAAGAATGTAAGGGGCCGTTCACTTATGACGTCCGACATTTAGGGGGGGGGGGGTCTAGGATTTTGTGACAGTTCAAACAATGGAAATTTTTTTCTTTAGAATTTTTGTGACAGAGGGGGGGAGGGGTGTCTAAAAATCAGATTTTGATGGACGTCATAAGTGAACGACCCCTAAACAATAAATTGATTATAAATTCAGATTATTTGCGTTATAGAATTTACAGCGATTTACATAAGTTTTAAACGTGCAATAAACTGCATTTTTCAATGCAAGTTTTTAAAATAAAACTAGATTCTCTTGTCATTAAAGTCCATTCCAAAAAACCTCAAAACATTAAAATTAAAATTTTTGTAAATCCACAACTGTATCCAAATGATAATTGATCATCAATCATCTAAAAAGATTTAGTCACCATAAATCAAAGTAGCTTTATAGGTTTATTAAGTCTTTAGTAAAAACGAGTAGCTTCCTGATTTTAAATTAAAATTTCCACAGAGCGTCGTTCTTCTTTATTCTACCTCTTCCATCGCTTCCATAAATTTTCTTTTTTTTTCTCCACGTACTTCTTGTGCTGTTGTCTCATCATTTTCGCACCAACACAGCACAAAAATGAAAATTTTGTTTCTTTCTCCATTCTTTTGTGAGGCAGCGATTGACTATGATGCTGGAAAAATCCCCGAGATATTCAATTGAATCTCGCAAGTAATAGTAACGATGATAGGATTAATTAATTGCTATAAAAGACTGTAATAAAAACAAAAACATATGAGAGAGTGACTGAGAATCACAAAAAAAAATGTGTTTTGTATTGGAAGGAGTCACTTTTGTGTGAGTAACTTAACATACGATCGTTCGTACAAAAATTTTCTTCATTTAAAAACAAAATAAGAATGTTAATAATCATCGTCAGTACACAATAAGTTAACAAACACATATGAAAGTGAGAAAAATCGCTCGTGAGCGACTCTACATGTGTGTGAATTGTTAGGTCTTTTTTTTTGTTTTGTTTCTCAGCGTAGAGCGCACCCGATTCGTGAAGGCGCATTAATATAACACGAAAATCTAACGAACGAATTTCAAAGACCAAGTATTAAAGCAGCTAAAGTAAGTTGCGCGCGGTTTTTGGTCTGATGTTACCCAGAGCGTCGTTGACGACGTTTTAATATCGAGTTGGTGGCAACTTACAATTGTGTTGGAAAACCTTCTCCTTCACAGAACAGAAAAAGAAAAAAAAATACACAAAATTGATCATCAGTTTGCTAACTGAACAGAGTCTACAAACCATTTGATATTTTTTTTTCTTCTTTTCATTTCGTGAGTACATCTAGCCGAAGTTGGGTGCACTGCTCAAACAGTTCTTTACTGTTCGTTCAACTTGATGGGACTCTCTCTCTCGAGTTGGATTCTCGGTTACAGTGACTTTTTGAACAAAAAAAAATATAATTTTCATCTTTTTTATCACTTTTGTTTTAATTCTCTCGACTCGCGGGGGTCTCTAAAGACTTTTTATTTTATTCTTGCTTCATGTTTCGTGTTTTTTTTTCTTAAGTTTACTTTTGAATTTTCCACGTTTTTTTTTAAAAATATTGAAGAAGAACACGAGTTGTGCATTAACGGACATTTCTTTTGTTTTCAACAGATAATGAGTCAGTGAAAATTAAGTGAACTAAGAATTGAAACTATAAAAGGACCTATGAATTATAACCTATAAAAATAACTGGAATTGAACCAAAAAAAAAAAAAAATTTTAAAAAAGTTACCAAGAAGTGCCAAAAAATAGAAGAAAAGTGGAAAATAAATAAAAGTTCGTGATCAGATTAGATCGAAAGAAAATGTGCTGTTGTTGAAAAGACGAAGAAGAAGAAAATTCTGAACCATATATCGAAAATTGAAAGACTCTCTGATTTCAAACAATCTTCTTTCTTTTTTGGCGTGGATGCTAAAAATACATTATATATCAAAAGTACCCGTCGAAAGAAGAAACCTCTTCTGTGATTCTTGTTGTTTTTCTCCTCACTCTCTGTTTTAATTATTGCTTCATCTTCGCGGAAAATAAAAGAAAAGAAAAAGAAGGAAAATATAATTCTGTGTATGCTTGGTCGGTTCGATCAGCGAAGAGAGTTTATTGTGCCTTTTTTGTGTGGAAATAAGAAAAAAAAAATTTATAAAAGAAAAGTAGATTTTCATCTCTTCTGGGTGTAAATTTCTTTTCATAGACACGAGCTGAAACAGAAATTCTTTTTGGAAGAGATTTTATACGAAGGATTGAAGCTGAATTGCGCACATAAACTGAACATTTGTTAAAAAGTGAATAAGAAAATTCGTAGAGAAAATTTCCCAAGTGAAATAGCAGCTTTCAAGGTAAGAATCTTGTTGATTTTTTATTTTGTAGTTTGGTGTTCAAAGATTGAGATCTGTTATTTATAATTCTTCAATATATCATGATCAGATCTTGATCTTTGTAGATTTATAATTCTTGTTCTGAAATTTGGAGTAAACTTTAACAATTGATACTTTTGAATTCCTAAATGAATTCTTAACTAAACTCTTCTTCATTATTGAAAAATTGTCAAACCTTTGTAAAACTTAAAACAAGCTGTATTTCAACATCTATTGTAAATAACATTTTAACAATTCTCTGGAATTTTAAAATCTTAATTTTCCTAGTATAAACAAAACTCTGTTTTTGTTGCATGAGTCACTTTTAAAATCAACAAATAGACAATAAATCCTGTAACAAACAAATCGTGATCGATTGAGATTTTGAACTTGAATTTTTTTCGCTGTCAAGTTAACTTTCCAGTGAGCATGAACTTATTCTTGCTAAATATGCGATTTTCATTTACTTTGAAATACAGTGTGTGACAGTTTATTACATTATTTTTATTAATTGTCAATCAATTTCTTCTGGATGTCAACTACCCAATATTTCTATATACTTCCAAGTCATTACACTCATTTATGAATTTAAATTTAAGTCATAAAAAATTCTCTTTGATATAAGACATTTTGCAAATTAAACAATCTTATAATCTAATTGAGTATTACGTCGTGACTTTTACTGATATGATGACGGCAACTTAAAGAAGTTAAAAGGTTTTGATAACAAAACTGGAAGTAAAAATTCTTTGTTGTTTTAGATTAATTCACGATTTTTTTCACAACAAAAAGTTTAATGCTTAGTCTGCAATTAAGGTTTAAATAGCGATAATTCATCAAAATTCAAGAAAACTCATGCGAATTAATAGTTTTAACTGTAATACAATGAATTATTACAAACTTGCTTCCTCAATTTCATGAAAAATTCAAGAAGCACTTACTCTACTTCAGCATAATGCATTTTATCAGAATCACAAAGAATGCATTAGCGAAAATAGATGTCAGAACGAATAATAAAGTGACTTAAATAGAGAAGATTCTTAGCCTTGAAAATAATCAACATAACCTTTGCATTACTTACTACTAAAAACTACACTTACAATTGCATATTTTATAGTCATAATATTTTAAATCTGTGTATACATAAAAATATTAAATAATAAATTATTGTACATGTGTAATGAATTCATCTACATCCCATGGGACTCATTCTATGCACTACAGCAAAAAATTAAGAAGCAGAACTTTTTTTACAACAACAATTATTTATGCTGCTAGAATAAAAAAAACATTCTGAAACATTGAAAAATAAAACAGAGTCCTTGAAAGCTACAACAGACTAGCAAGGTAGGATAAATGCACTTTTTTGGATGCTAATAAACTTGTTTCATACAATAACTTAAAGTCTCTGAGCACATGATCATTGATCATATGACTTAAAAGTCTTTTTTAAGCAGCTCTAAGTTAGAAGAATGTAAGATAGTAGCATTGAATGCTTAATGTGGAAAACGATTTACTTATGATCATGATCTAAGCGATATAAAGTTGAGAAGGCTGTGAGGTTAGAACTATTAGATAAATATTTGATTTCATGCAACATACGGTTACCATTAAGGACAGAATTATTGATTTTTCAATGCTTGTTGTGGAATTGGAGTTTGTTCTGTGGATTTAAGCTGTTAATTGGATTCAGATTTGGTTGTAGGATGTATTTTTGAGAACTGAGAGCCAATTGAGCTTAGGGGAAAAGTGTTTGAAACATGCCTTAAGACTCAACGTTCTAGATATAAGAGTTGCTCCTCCTCAAATCATTCAAACATGGGGGTGGCCATGAAAAGAGTCCAAACCTATATCTCAAGATTAAAATTTGTATAAAAAAAAAATTCGGATACCTCCTCGTCCTTTCTTGAATTTTTGACAATACTTCCAATCTCAAGCAGACGCAATGAATCATGCAAGTCCTTAATAATCAGGACGAAAACTCAAATTCACACAATTTCTTATAAAAATTTTCCATTCTTTAATAAATCATTTGACGTTCCCATTAAATATCTCATGCATAGAAGTCCAAGGAACTCGCACACATTTACGCCTTCATTACACTTTGATATTTCAATTCAACCATTAAAGCTGAATTGTATGTGAAAAGAGCGAGAGAATGAATAGAAAAAAAAATTTCCATGGACGAATAGAAATAAAAGCCACTAAAACTGCTGTTAAAATAGTTCCATTATTTGCTGATAAGCGATGAATAAAAAAAGAAACTATTTCATCGAAGAAGAAAAAAAACTTCTCTCATTTTAGAAGCACAAAAATAATGAAAAATGCACACAAACTTGTGCACTTAAAATGACCATTATCGCAAAAGTAAGCAGCAAGCAAATATGAATTCACGATCTGCAGCGCGAGAGCTGGAAAACTAAAATAAACTAGTTACACTCTGTGCATGTGCATCGGCTTGAAAAACATATGAACTTGTGCATTTCATCATCTTCTTTGATTTTCGCAATTGTAGAAGAAAATTTTTGCGATATAGTCATTGTGGGTGGATAGATGGAGCGCATTTTTTGAGCACAGAAGAATTGATTTTTGTTTTAAGTTGGAACAGTTGCTGTTACTTATGGATGGTCATTAAAAATAGTCTTTGTAGATTTCTGATTAAAACTGGAGCTTATTGAAGTGTCAGGTGTGTACTGGGGACTAAAATCTGGCTACTCATATAGAATCTAAGAAAGTAAATCTAGTTAAGATATTCCTAAGCCACATTCTTTAATAAATTAATTAACAGCAGTGCTAAATTCACAGCAACATCCAAATCACGTTTCCTAACTTGTGCTCACTGCTGATTACTCAAAGTAAGGCACAAGTAAAGTTAATAATATAAAAAAATTGCTGATAGTTGCTAATCAAAATCAAGAGCAATTGCTTGCTGTATTGTTGTGGATGTAAATGTGTCTTAGAATTTGCGTCTTTAAATTAAGAAACATTTTATTATTGAAGAAAATTGATACATTCTGCTCTCATTGTTGCGGCCTGCCTGCTTTGGCTTGATTTTGTTTTCTTTCTTTTCTCATTTCTGTTGCGGATCTCAACGATCATTCTGATTTTTTTATTTTCATTTCTTTGAGCTATCTCGTGCGCACAAGCTATAGCTTGTATCACAGAATGTATTGAGGACTCACATCGTGTTGTTCTTCACAATTATCTTCTTTTTTTCTTTGTTTCAAGATATGTATGTACGATGAAGATGTTGAAAACACGAGTTGTGGCTACATTTTTGAAATAAAAATTAATATTTTTCTGAATTCTTTTTATTACCCCGCAATGGGTGTTGGAAATTGAGACGCGAGCGAGCGTTGCTATTAAATAGTATTGAACTTTCATTCCTGCTTCGATTTTGTTTACTAAACTACTTCTTTTTGACCCTTGATTGTTTATAGAAGTAATGACTTTACAGTATTTACAAATTCAAGTTCCATTCAAAGTTTGAACAAGAGCGGGAAAGTTGGAAATGCTGAATAGTTGTTTTTCGCGATAATAAAATTGCGATTTAAAATTTTTACGATTTCTTGCGAAACTGTAAAGGAAATTGTTATTGATTATTCATGATTAATAAAGCTGAAGCTTGATTGGTGTAGTTCAGCACAGCTAGCTTTATCGTCGATAGAATCTACTGTATCATATAAAGACATCCCTATCTATGGATTCAAAAACTCCTTTCAACCATTAAAATACTCCCTTCAAGCATAACAAATCGTCCAAAAAAAGCACATTTATTTTAACACACAATTCTATTGTCAAAAAATACTAAATTTAACCCCTGTAACCTCATCACATATTTCCAAAGAACCCAAACTCTTTGAAAGCCACAATCAAATAAGAAAAGAAAAATACGCCACAATCAGGTTCCAACGAGCATCATCTCAATCACTATAAAGTATGATTTCATCACAGATGCTAAATAAATAATTTGATAATCTCAATTTAGTTTTTTTAAAGCACTCATAATGAGCTTTAATGTGACTAAGCATTTTAAAAGCATACAGAAAATAAATTGCATAAAGAAAACCTTGATGCCCTCAGGGGAAGCTTCAATTTCCTGCGCAATTGATGCAGAAAATATTCCATAAATGCATCAACAATGAAAATGAATCATGTCATTCTGTTTGATTATGGGAAAACCAAATTAGACACATGAATGTGTGTGCTGTTTTTTTGACGTCGACAAATACCTTTAATTGTAGACAATAGACAGAGGATACAAACAAAAAGTGAAATATAGATGAAAAGCAAGAAATACTTTACGTCCTATTTTCTTATTGTTCAATGTACTTTAAGTTTGTAAACGCTCATGGGATTTATTTAGCTCTTAGAATTTTTTTTGTTTAATGGATGTCCAGCCTGAGATTCTTTTTACATCAGACCTTCTCCTCGTAACCACAGTCAATTTGCTCTGCTCAATTAGATTCTACTAATATTAAATAATTTAGACCAGATTTGTGCCCTTGGACTTCCATTCCTAGCTACATCTCTAACACATAATACCAAAAATGCGCTCCATGACCACAGTGACTTTTTAACTTGCAATATTTATTTCATATTCTTTATTCGAAGAGTGCCTAGTTAGCAATTGTTAACAGCCTCAGTTTGATAATCTTTCATTGCTATTGTTCAATTGGTGAGGCATGTAGTGGTGTTGGTATAACAATATGCTGCTTATTTAGTTACTAGCTAAGTTTTTTTTAAGATAAGAACAAAATTATTTTATAAAATTGTAGTCGTTTGTCGTCTTAGTTTTCTTTATTTCTTTCTATTATTGACTAAAATAGAGCAATAGCTTACATATGCACATATGAGAAGAGTCTCAATTTTCTTTCATGCTGCAATCACATTTTTTTTGTGTTGATTTACATCAATTGATGTCATTTTTGATGAACGATGCAACAGATTTGACCCGATGATGATGTTAATGATTAGTACTA